AAATGTAACCACTGGCTTAAGAGCCATCGTTGCAGATTAACGTGGGAGACACCTCGTGGATTGAATGTTACGTGTGACAGCATGTCAGACGTTGTCAGAACTCAAAAGCTAAGCAGTGGTTGAGCCTGGATAATGCTTGGATGGGCGACCAATTCGCGTAATGGCCGGGTGCATTAATAGGGGCCTGTTGCATGCAGCAGACGGCAGTGCAACAAAACATCCACGAATGTTCTTGCACTCTGCAGCCCCAACAAGCGTCACCGACCTGCACTGACCGGCGTGGTGAAGTATGGTCAAATATGCCTCGCGGCCCGCAAGGCGTGGTTGGGGAAGCCTTCATCTGGCAGTCGAGTTGACCAGCTGTACTTGCATGTACACGTGTCTGCATCAAACACGTCGCTTGCATCATACAGTTAAAAAGTGTATTGTACGGGCAGAAACTGCATATGGTTCCGAATAGCAGTCGAAAGTTCTAAAACTGCGTTTGATTTTCATATGACTAAGACGTGATAAAGTCGTATTATTGTTTTTTTTTGGTAAAAGTAATAGATTGTTAAAAAAAACATGCATGGCCTGTCAGGATGATGGAACAGCGTTCGAAAAGTGCCGCACAGATTTTGTTTTCGATGCGGCAGCCCCGGACGCGGATGAGGCTTTGCGCTCCACTCTGTGGGCGGACCCTGTTCAACGAGCTCGATGGGTTAAACCAAGGCCGTAGCCATGGAGTCAACATTGGGTGGGACCAAATCTTCCAGGGTGTCTGGGGGTCCCCCCGCCGGAAAAAATATCTACATTTGAAAACTAATTTCCTGCCTAAAATATGAAAAAATTCACTAACACATGGGATGGACTTTTCATTTATTTTTACAATAATGTCTAATAGTGTATTGTATTACATTGCTCTGTTTTTACTTTTTTTTTACCATTTCTTGTTTCATTGTACGTAATGGCGGAGATTAGGGATTAATAAAGTACAACCATAACCACAATCATATAAACAGAAATCTATGCCTTGATTTATATGACAAGTCCAGATGTTGTGGCCAAGGTTTAGCATATTGTTACTTTTATTTACATAGCATAGCTATTTTTTATAGCAATATATTGCGGGGGGGGGGGCATTTTGAGTATATTTGAATATTGGGGGGGGATGTGTCCCCCCCCCCCCCATTTATATTATAATTACGGCCTTGGGTTAAACCATCAGTCGCGCCTGACCACGTCCATCGATACACAGTGTCATGGCACACGTGAACCGTGTAGTGGCTTGCATGTCACACGAAATCAGCGATTGAAGCAAATTAATAATCTGTATGAAAAAAAAGAATAGGGATTTACTCTTTCTGGCAATAGAACAGGAGGTGTTCTATTGCCAGAAAATAACCTTTTGCAAGGAATCAAGTCTGCATTGACCACGCGTAATCGTGATGAACATGCAAACAAACATGCTCTGATTAATATATTTTCATTGTCTTTGAAACCGAGTGGCCTACACCAGAGACAGCATTCTTGAGGGCCTACACCAGTCTCAGACCAAGGAACGCCAAAAGTCGAACAGCACCAAGGCAATGCCACACGTATCAGAGCATTTCGAGCTCGGGGTGAGCAACTATATAACGGGACCCTTTCTTCCAGTATCAAAGTATGAAAAATAAGAATGTTTTATCCTTTCTGCCAATAAAGCAGGAGGTGTTAAGATGGTCCAACACCAATTGGATACCTTTTTGCAAGGAATCAAGTCTGCATTAAGCACACGAACGTGTGCATAATTCTCCAAGCTAAAGCGAAGAGACGAATATGTGTAGTAGTAGTAGCACTTAAACACGTTCCAACCGGGGACTGATAATGGCAACTCCCCTGTTGTTACATTTTTCCGTGCGATTAAAAATGTTGCCCCTACAATGGCAAGGGAGAGATACATTGTACACCGTATGTGTGTGCCATTGGCATCGGGCATTTTAAAATCACCGGTAGCTATTGCTTTTGTTGTCTTCGAGGACACGGTTATTGTCACAGTTATAAAATGTCTGCTGACTCAGCTGCTTGAGAATGTTTCGTCGAAATGGCCTCCATTCCGCATGCCCCTCCCCCCTCGTGTCCTTACTCGCGATTTGCATATTCTGGACGTGCTGGAGCGTGCGTTCCATTAACCCAGTGGCTCTTCACCTTGACTGACTGCAGCAGCCTTGCACCCTTTCGTCCTCTATCGTTAAAAAAGTGTACACTGTTAATAATCACTTATGATTAATGAAACAAATTAGTTGTACTTGCGTGCCCATGCTTAACTTGTGTTTTCGATTATTTAGCTTCTAAAAACAAACTGGCCACGTCTCGCACCTCCAGAAAAGGGCATCTCGCACCGCCGGTGGGTGCAGCGTGCACCCCAACCACTGCCCCAACCACTCAAGCGACACTACGACTTCAGTGTCTCGTCACGGTACTCCAATGCAGCGTCTAATTTTACCAGCACCCAGAACTCAAAAGGTGACCGCACAGAAGCCGTGTTTGCACTCACTGCCCGTGAGCAACCGGGGCATAGCAAACCAGGCAGGCCAACTCCCCGGCTACACTGCCATTGGTTGGTCCACTCGAGGCTCTGATTGGTCCACTCGAGGCTCTGCTCAGGAAACAATGCAATGATGTCACGGTCCTCGTCTAAACCGAGCACTTGGACGTTTTCGTTTGTCGCTAAATGTTTTGGGTTTTATCTAACGTTGTATCCCGTTGTGTTTTGCACGTGTAGTCGCTACGGCATGCTGCTAATTACGTTGTGTCTGTCGCAAAGCAAGGGCTGTGCGTTTGTCCCGCGCGGCTCTGCCCCGTCCGCCCGCCACGTGACAGCATGGTGACGTCACAAGCCTCGCCAGCCTGGACATTTAGGCCCCGGTGGTGGCTTTGGGGACTGCCGAGTGGGACAGCTAACCAGGAATGGATGTTCCACACCTCAGCGAGCCTACCATGCCCCTTCCGGATGCTGGGGAGGGGGGGTATAAACACGGCTGTAGAAAGGCCGCCCCCTCTACCAACGAGCCGAGCGAGCCACAGTGTGGTGTGGCCGAAGGGCCGTTGTGGCACACCGGGCCATTTTCTGGTGAAGCTCATTGTGCGTCCTCTGGAGGACACCACCGCGAGTGACCCAGCCGCTGATTCTTTACGCGACCCACTTGGTCTAAAATCCTCCTCGACCAGTCCACGAGCGGTTGGGCAGAGGGAGCTGCAGGTAATGGTGACAGTCGTGGTAACGATGACGATGATTGTGCTTGCGGCCCGGCTTGGGGGCTTTAGGAGTGGTGAAGTATAGCTAGTACCGCTTTTCCACTGCACAACCGAACCACGTCGGGGCGGTGCTGTGCCGAGCCCAGCAACATCGCAACTCACCAGGTTGTTTATTTTTCCCCACTGCAGAACCACGGGCCATGCCGCTGACGAATTGAGATGAGGTTAAGGGATCGACGGTGAAGCAGCTCATGGCAATGCGGTTGCGGAGAGAATCGATTCAAGGCTTAGGTGGGAGACAAACACGAGGGGGATCGTTCCCTCAAGTCACGGCCCGGCTAACACAACTCACGACGAATATGATCAACCTCCGCCCCTGGCCCTACTTGGCTCTCAGCCGGACTCGGATGTATCGTGAGGCCAGCGTGTGTCACGGTTTTGCTTCTGGCTCGGCTCGGCTCAGCATGCAGTCGGTGGAAAACGACCGGTACCGTGAGGGCCCTCATGCTGGCCCAGGCTGAGATGTGCCAGTGGAAAAGAGGTATTAAGCAAAACTCTGTGTAGCCGCGGGATTCCGCTGAAGAGTCACTGGGTGACCGCGTGATGCGCGGCTCTGCGAACATTTGGAGGCCACGTGACAAGGCGGTCCCGTGCGGGATGGGTTAGGACCGCTCGCAGCGGAAGCGTTGCTGCTGCTGTTCAGACGGAGCCTGCCTGTGAAGCTCCCCCCCACCCCCGCACAGTCAAGCTGCAGGGCTGGCTAAGATGACTGTTGAGTTGCTACAAACAAGAGAACCAAAACCAACAGCGGTCAGTTTGGGGAAGGGCATTTCGTTTCATGTCTGTAGGTGAACGTCAACATCGTGAAAGCGATTCATGTGTAGGAGGCGGCGTGTTTTCGACACTGGCCGAAGAGTTTTTACCGTGACGCGTAATTCTGATTCATCCTTAAAATGTGTTCACTTGCTCTTAGCTTACTTACTCACGCAAGTATTTCCTATATGTTATCAACACGATAAAGGTATTTAGTGTCGCATAAACTCTACAACTCTACAATAGAGTGTAAACTAATTATGATCAGTTATTTTAGAACAAAATTCAGGTAGCTTTTCCAACATGCTAGAAGTAGCAGAAAATAAAATAATTTCATAATTTCCAAATGAGATTGGGGGGGGGGGGGGAAATGGTCAGTTATAATCAATGTAAAATGATTCATATCTTGAAAAAGGGCATCCTACTGTGAGAAATATTGACAATTTATCATTCGGAAAATGTAATTGTGTGCAATGGTCACAAGCGTGAAACGTGCGTGTAAAAATAAATCCAATAAAGTATTGACAGGCAGTCCTTGACTTATGAGCGGGTTACCTTTCCTGAGACCCGTTTGTTAAGTCCATTTGTTCGTATCTTGGAACTCGACGTCAAATTGTACACACAGTCAGACGTGATGACCGTCACAAAGTATATCGAAAAGCATGCATAGCACAAACACAGCACACGATCTTTTGTATGCAAAAAATTTCACTGTCGTAGCGCATCCCGCGAGATGCTGGGACTCATTAAATCTCGCCGGAGGATCGCTCTGCCGAACAAAATAGTTTTTTGCGGTGGTATGGTTCGTAAGTTACGACCGAACGTTCGCAAGTCGGATGGTTAAAAGAATAACGTCTCATGGCGGTTCGTTCGTTAAGTGCGGATGTTCGTAAGTGCGGACGTTCGTAATCTCGGGGGACTGCCTGTACTTTAAAAGTGGGCGCTAAATCGCAGCTGCCTGACACAACGATTCAGCAACTTGGCCAACAAGCCAACGAGAGTTCACCTTTCCTGGCAGCAGAGACACCAAGCAGTGGCTTCCTTTTAACCGATGGTTTCACGCCATCTGGGTTCACTTGCTGCTGAGGCTGGGCTTGATTTTGAGGGTGCACTTGGTGCTGATGTTGTGCCTGCTGCTGCTGCTGCTGCACCGAGTTCTGCGGTGGGGGCTGCGATTCCCTTGGCTGGGGTTGCGCCACGGCGGGCGGCAGCGCCGCCGGCTCGGCCGCGGCGTGACGCGAGGGCGACCTGGAGGCGAGGTGCTCGCCCGAGCGGTGAGGCTGCGTCTCCTCGCGCGAGGCCTGCGGCGGCGGCGGCGGCGGCGGCGGCGCGCACTGCCGCGCCGCGTCGGGGTACGGGGGCCCCGCGGCCGTGGCCCTGGGGATATGCGTCTTCTTCTGGCAGGTGCCTTGCGTGGAGTGCTCCTGCTGGTGGTGAGGCTCGGCGTGCTGGTAGTCGGCAAAGTGTCTGTCCTTGGGCAGGTGCGCCACCGCGTGCGCGTAGAGGGGCTGCCTCGAGTGGTCCGGGGAAGGGGTGGGCAGGGGCGGTCTTCCGCTGGGCTGCAAGCAGGGCGAGTGAGGTCTGCTGCTGTCCACGTGTTGGTATCCGGGTTGGAAAGCGGCCTTGATATTTTGTTTGTTCAAACATGGATGGTATCCGTTATGGGAATGTGAAAAAGGCAACACCCGCTCAGGCTGCTGGGAAACTATGGTCAGGCCCGGTTGCATCACCCTGCCGGGCTGCATCATTTGCGGATGAGCGGAGTGCGCTTTGCTCACGGTCCCTGCTTGCTGATGAGCGTCGGAGGGCGGCGGAGTGGCGGATGGGGCGCCTGCGTGAAGCGAGCACTCGCCAGCCGCGTTCGCGGGCTTCCTGGGGCACGTGGGGTGTGCCTCGGGTGTGCTCTGTCGCCCCCTGTGGTTCTCGTTGATGAACGGAGCCTTCGGCGACATTGCCTTGCCAAGGTGCGTAGCTTCGGCATGCAGCGACTGCGGGTTGTCCCGCATCCTGACCCACACGTCCGTCTCCGTGGCGGGGCAGGGTCCCCTGCAGCGCTCGTCCCCGTGAGGGCACGCGTCGACGGCGCCCGCCTGAGCGGCCTTGCTGGGCCCCGCGCCTTCCCCGCCCCGAGAGGATCTCGGCGGAGCGCTCTGCCTCCCCGTCTCCTTCGCCTCCGCCTCGCCGCCCGCCTTGGAACGCGCTTTTTTCTCGGGCCGACGGAGCTCCTCATCAGCCCCGAACCGCTTGGGCTCGGGCGCGCCGCACGCGGGCCACTGCTCCGAACTCGCGCCCGCGCTCGCCTGCGCCCTGCGGTGTTGCGAGTGCCGAGCGGGCAGCGGCTCCGGTTGCGTCTCGCCCGCGTGCTGCTGACCGCTTGTGACCTGATGGCCGGTCCTGTCCGTGCATTTGTTCGGCAGATTGGCAACGTGCGATCTCTGCGCGCTCGTATTCTGAGCGTGCTCGCCCGCTTGCAGGGCTGTGCCGTGCTCGGCCTGTCCGGCCGGCTGGCCCTTGGGTTGGTGTTGGTTTGTTTTGTCCGCACTCACGGCCTGACACTGCTGCCCCGTCCGTTCGCACTGTGACCGTGGCGACATTGTGCCCTTCTTGTGTTGATCGCCGTGCTCCTCCTTGGACTTCCTGTCCGCCTTGTGGTCCTGCGACGAGTGGCCGCCCTTTGTCAGGTTCTTCGCCTGCTCCCCGCAGTGCGGGCTGCCCGTTTGGTGACAGTCCTTCCTGTCCGCCACGTCCCACTCCTGGGTGTCCGGAGAGGAGTTAGGTCTGCGCTGCCCTTTGCTCTCTGGCTGCTTGCCCTCCGGTGGCAGGGACGAGCGCTTGCGGCGCTCACCGCTGTCCGACTGCACCTGGAGCCGGTGCCAGCGGGCTGTGTCGTCCAGGTTTGAAGCTTTGCATAGCGCAATGTTCACCTGCAGCAGAGCAAGGCGGCGCCGCATGGTTAATGCACACTTTTTTATAGAACCGCGTAGGTTTTTTTCGTGGTCGTACAGTCGTGCAGCGCTGCGATGTTGTTTTCGGGTCGAATTATACCACACGTTGTTCAGCATCAGCATCATCTCCGACGTTCCGCTCCACGTACTGGCAGCTTTGCCAGATAAAGGCACCCGTCCCATACTCTTCCCCGAGGCTTACAGAGCCATTTGAAGACATCGTTAAAAATCCTTGGTCTTCAACGTTATTAGACTTGGAATGCTATAACTAAAAGCGCAGCATATCTGCAGGAAGTAGCCTAATGATGACGAGTGCTGAATAAACGAGCCATAGTCTATGGATGTGACATCTTTAGCTACCAAAGACGAGGTTATTTTCCCATAGGCCAGTGGTTTCTACAAACAAGGAGAGATGTGATACACACTCTAAAGGATGGGCAGTATCACGAACGTGTCGGGATTCTCATTAGTTATAATACTGCACACGGTGTGTGACCGGGGTTCTTTTTTTAACAAGGGACACAAAATTTGATTTGAACCTTTCGTGACTGCAGGGATTCATATTCTTGGTTCTTTCGGTAAAGTGACCAAGAATAAGGGACAAAAACTTTTTTTACTTTTAGATCGGGATGCGATCAGAGCATTGCGACGTGACAGCCACTGATGTGCACCGGCCGGGGACCGACAGGAGATGGGACAGTTTTTGCCGCAGGGCCCACGTGACCCCAGTGCACACGACGCATATTAATCGAAAGTAATTTAACACGCGTAGGGCTTTCGTGACCAATATTATCCACGAGAGGTTAGATTGCGTACATTTAAATGTGTCGAAACGTCACGGTACTCGAATTGTATATGTTGCGGGTTTTCTCTCCAACACACCAGTGAGCTGAACGAGGAACAAGTTGGCATATTTTTATTACATGACAAACCTTACTAATTTGCCATGTCAGGTGGTGGCGGGTTTAACGACACAGTCATATTTACGCGATCTAACCCAAAAAAACCTTGTATTATCGACATTAATTGTTCACAATTAAATTTTGGTGCGTGTCGAATTGTACGCATGGGTTTTCTCTCTGTTCAATCCAAGTTCCAGCCCCACGTGTCAGACCCTGCCAAATGGGAATGTCTAAAAACATCCCAATTGCGGGACCCTTCTGAAAGACTAGATAATTGTTGGGTTTTACTACAGTGGCGCCACGAATGACACTGGCACGAGGCGACATCTCGACCTTGTCACTGGCATTCATGCAACACGAGCACCAGTCGTTGCCGGAACAGAGAGTCCTCTCACCTCGCACCGATGTCCACTCTCTTCCAAGGTGCAAAGAGGGCATTTATCACCTCAAGCACCAAGGAACATGAATGCTGGCGGCTTTTCTCGGCCAGAAGAGAAAAAGAACGTTTATTTTTAACTCTCACCTCGCCCAGGAAATGGTTGGTTGCAAATCGATCGTAATCCCACACGGCAACTTCCAGAGTCCTCTTTTCCAGCTGGGGACAGAATGGCCATGTTAGATGGCTCCGTCATGGCAAACCACTTTTCCCCCACCACTCAGAAACACACTGACACAGCACGACAGCCATTATAAGCCTCGCAACTCATTACCGCAGCGCAGAGGGTTCCACGTGGTGAAACTTGAATAATGCATCGCGTCAGTCCACTTAGTGCACGCAACTCAGCGGCGCATGGTGCCCTTTCATTTAGTGGCATATGGCTCTGCAATTCGCGGCTTAAAGGTTGCCGCAGAGTGCCTTATCAGCACGATGCTTGTAAGGCATAGTATAGGCATGGACAGCCTGGATCCAAGTACCGAACACTTACCCGAGGAAAAGTGCTTCTCTTGTTGCATAGGAATACGTTTGATCGGCTCAGCCTGATCACCAATGACGAAGGGTACAATTTTGACTTGAAGCTTTCGTGACTGCAGGAATTCATGTTCTTTGGGTCTTTCGGAAAAGTCACGTAGATAGGTTCAAATTAATGAAAATAAAACAAACAAAAACACTACGACGTTTCGATCATAACACAAGCGATTGTCAGCAGGAGGGGGAAACTAATGATGACAATCGCTTGTGTTGTGATCGAAACGTCGTAGTTTTTTCTTTATTTTATTTTCATTAATTTGAACCTATCTACGTGACTTTTCCGAAAGACCCAAAGAATATGGGTACAATTTTGTCAAGGTAATTTAATTAAAAGCTAAATTCACAGCCGAGGAGCAGGGAAAATAATCCAGTAGTTCATAGAGAGGTCACGGAATCAGATGGGGGATGGTGCCCCACCTAGACATTTGCTTTTTTCATAGAAACATATATTTACAATCACCATTTTGAAGAAAACAAAAAAAATCTATTAGATAATTTCACTGTCCTTCCTACGCACCTCCTGTTAGCACGGTTGGTTACTACAGTGCGAAAGAAGTTCAACATACGTACAATTTGGGCATGAACAGACTGCAGTGGCACAGCTGATGGTGTCTGCACGCACCTCTTCACGGGACAAGCCGTGGTATACAACGCTTTGGTTCCACTCGGGATTCAGCGACTTGTGCACGAACTTGGTTTTCCTTTTCACTTCTGACCTGCGGGCGATACGGTAACCAGCGCACGGGTGAAGAGGGCACGCTGCCCTGCCGTAATGGTCAGCAAAGGTCACCGCTTCCATCTGAGTGGGGCAAGTTTTTCTTAAATCTCCCCGCCCCTGTCTACCCAGCAGAAAAACTGGGTACTCGCCAGCCTAAGTCGATCGGCAGGTCACGTGTGGTGGGGTAAAGTGTGGGTAGTCCCGCTCCCAACATGTCCTGTCGGTCGTGGAATAGTGGGCCAAATTCTTACTTGAGAGGTTTCTCTAGGAGCTCCCCTCTAGTGGAGGATCTTCCACCAGCAGTGGTGTTGGCAAGGCATTGCAGAGCTGCACCTTGTTACCATTACAGGTAAAGAGGTAACGCGTGGTTTAAAATGAATTAATTTGCAAAAGATGGGGTTTCCACTGGTTCGAAACCAGGCGGCCACATTTAATTACACCGGGTTCTCAAGTGCGAGTGATCCGTAAGAGGTTTTTTGGGTTAGATCGTGTAAATATAAATGTGTCGCTAAACCCGCCACCACCCGACAGCAAATTAGTAAGGTTTATCACGTAAACAGAACGTGCCAATTCGTTACTATACAGCACACCGGTGTGTTTGAGAAAAACCCACAACATTTACAATGCAAGTACCATGACGGGTTTGGGAAAGTTGCGCCCTCTACTGTTTGGATCAGAGGTTACTTGACGGAAGCTCAGAGGTGGCTTTTGTGAAATCTGCGTCAGTGGGCCGTTCTCTGACACGAAGGACTGTTCTGTAAAAAATCCAAATTGCATTGCCCTCCCGCACCTTCGATTAGCGCGGTTGGCCACGTCACGGTGCGAAATAAGTTCAACGTACACACGTACGTACATGGCATGACACCAACAGCACAATCGGAATACAACCGGGGTAAAAACGACAAACTTTTTTTATAAGCCCGCATTATTTACATATGATTTTAGCCGTGCCTGGAATTTGTCCGTGTTCTGTTACCTGTTCCCCCAATTGGCACATTGGTTGTAGATTAACTGAATCGCTGCTTTAATTGCACGTTTTTTAAAGCTTTAATGAGGGATTACGAGTAACGTAGTAGATGTCTTGGTAAAAAAAAAAACGATATAAGAATGTGTTTTACCAGGTAAGCCCCACTGAGCTATATAGCTATTTTTCAAAAGCAACCTGGCCACAAATGAAAGCTTAACAAAGTGGCTTATCGTGTGGAAATTGCAAGCAACCAAATACTCTAAACGCACGTTTCTAAATGTGGAGGGGAAAACCGGAGGACCTGGAGAAAAAAATCCACACGACCACTGGGAGAGAAACACAAACTCCAAATACACAGCAGCAGCAGGCGTTGTCAGGGTCGGGATCGAACCCACGACCTCCTGTATACCAGGCGAGGCGGTTAACATTTTGCCACCGTGGCATCGGCCGACGGGAAGACCTACCCCTTCCCGGGCAGCAGGTAGACCTTGACGAAGGGGTCCAGGCTCCCACTGCCGTTGCGAGCGGTCAGCCCACGCGCGCATAGCACCCCCACCACGAGGTCGCCCGCCTCCGCCTCGTACCGCAGCTGCAGCTGAAGGTCGCATCGGGTGAGGCGTCAGGATTTCCAGTTACGAGACGCCCAGAGCGCCTCGGCAAATTAATATTATTGTTAATACCGCTACTGCACGATTACACTTTTGGATTTGTATACAGGGTGCTTAAAAAAAATACTAAAACTTACATGGGACTATCGTTTTTAATGGAAGAAAAACAGATAATGCACGGTAACTTGACATCAAATGTATGTTAATAGCTTCAAAAACTCAAAGAGTCTCCACGTGTTCGCCATCGTTCTCAACGCGTGGCCTGGAGTCTTCTCCAGGTGGTCTCCAGAGCCCGGAGGCAGCAGCACGTGTCACGTGGTATTGTTGCAAATTCTCAGAAGTGTGAAAAAAAATTTTTGAAGCACCCTGTATGAATGGGGTTATGTTTTACACATGGGAGGAAACTGGAGCACACCAAGATAAAACCCACGGGCATGAGTGGGGAAACGCGCTGTCCCGCACAGACGGAACAGGCGGAGTCCACCTTTTTCTGCTCTAACCACCTTCTCATGGTGAGTCAGGTTGTTGTGGCACTTCCTCGACGCCCGACCAAGGGGAACGGAGTGTCGCAACATCTGTGCGGCGATCCACCAACCCCTCTCGCTCCCTCCGCTAGCGCCACCACCGCCCGGCTGAAATCTCAATCTCGACCACTCCGGTGCCTCGATGTATTCTATCCAAAGGGAACCCCTTGCTGGCAGCTGTCCCTGTGCAGCTCAAGGTTAAATGCAGCACCGGCCTGCGAGTGAACCTTAAGTCTGCCATTCGAGGAGGCCGATGTCGCTTTGTGGATTTGTTCCAAATTGAGTAATTTGCAAATATTTAATCAAGTTCGGGAAGTTCTTCCAAATATCACCATGGGATGTTTTATATTGAATCCCGAGGCAGACAGCGCTTGGTTTTATTGATGGTTGACACACCCGCAGCCTCAACCAAGGCGGTCGCTAGCCCCTAAGCTGTGAACATCCGGAATTAGCGGTGGAAGATACTCACTTGTATTTCTCCAAGTTCTGGCTTTGGCTGTCCTTCAAGTGCCTTAAAAAAATGAGCAGAAAATACCACGAATTATTTTTTATTGACATATATATAAATAAGTATACATTGCTCATCAAGAATGCAAATGTATCGTAGGGCTACTTACATAGGTAAATAGAGCGGCCACTCCAATTTACATTTTTGATGGAGTTGTCAATTACATTGTGAATAAAACTTCACAGCCCTTTGTCAATACACCTCTGCATGAAGGCCAGACCAAGCCATGTCAATCATGGGTGTTGTTTGCCCATACTTGACCACAGTGGTCAGTGTGAGTTCAAGGAGGGGTGGGTGGGAGGGAACCAGGATTGGTTTACATTTCACTCGCCACAGATGTCAGCTAAGGCTTCGCGTATTGCGGGTTCATCGCAATACGCGAAGCACCGCTCCTCTACAGCTGCTTACCGCTGCTTACTAAAAATGTGAAGGAATTTTTTTTTCCATATACAAAACAAACACGCACAAATGTTGACAGTGTCCATGCGCTCGCAGGAAACGTGTTCTTCAATGCTCAGGACATGTCGTGCGATTCGCCGGTTGCTGAAACTTAAAGGTTGCCATTTGCTCCCCAGTGGGTGATATTTTCTGTCTGCGATGTTGGCAGACGCTAATGAAGCGTCCGTGTCGCACGGCTCCTTCCGCCGCTCTGAGAGATTCCTCCGTAGGCTCTCATGACCAAAGACTACGATTCATCATTCGTTGTTTTTGGATCGCGGCCTGAGCTTTTTGCAACCACCCGACGATGCTGGTTGCAATCCCCGGTGAAATAGTTGCGCGAAAAAAATATGTCGAATTTGCGCTTGATTTTCAACGTAGCCGGTTTGCTGAGAAACGGAACTCGTTGGCGCATTTTCCGCGCAAGTCAACTTGCCTTCTGTGGCCAGGTTGGGTGGTGGAGGATGCATAGCCCTGATCTAACCCATAAAGCGTATTATGAATTATATCTAAGACGAACTAACCCACATCATCAATAGCTGTTATTTAAAAAATATATATGTTTTAATAATCGTCCATTCTTATTTAGCGCGGGAAAATAGACTTCTTGGAAGCAGAAAAAATGTGAGGCGTACTGCTCAGGCGGAATTAACAATAGGACAACGTCTTCTTTGGTCCTTTCGGTAAAGTCACGTAGAATGAGAATAAAATAATAAATTGATAAAATAAAATAACACAATAATATTCTCACGACGTTTCGGCCACAACACAAGCGGCCTTCATCAGGTGAAGGGACGAGACTGAAGGCCGCTTGTGTTGTGGCCGAAACGTCGTGAGAATATTATTGTGTTATTTTATCAATTTATTATTTTATTCTCATTCTACGTGACTTTACCGAAAGAACCAAAGAAGATGAATCATTGCAGTCACGAAAGCTTTAAATCGAAATAGGATAACGGTTTAAACAGAGCAGGATTCGTGTTTTGTGAATATGACGGTAGAAACGCGTTGCTGAGCCATCGACCGGCAGCTTCAATGCAGCCAGAGATCGCACATTTACTTTCAAGTATTTTTCTTCTCTCTCTCAAAATGGCCTCACCACGGCCATGTTTGCGTCACTGCGGCGATGAAAATGCCACGGCTACAGCCCTGCAGAGCGCGCCACCGCTTCTGGCTTTAGCAGTGGCAGGCGCCAAAACAAACGTGGCCATTCTCAAGATGCCGATGGAAACTGCCATTTAGAAAAAAGCAATAAGCTGCAGCTCTACACTGTTGTGTTCACGCCACTGCTGGCAGGAAGGTCCTCCACTGCGGGAGAGCTCGAGCGAGCCTCTCTATAGAAGGTACTTGGCCTATTCTTCCATTCTGGCCAGACGTCTTGGATGAGGTGGGAGTACCCACACTTTACCCCACCATACGCGACCTGCGAAGGTGGCGGAGGGCACGGAATATAAGAAACTTTCCCATTGTTTCAACTGCCGTGTCGGGAGATGGAACCGGTGACCTTCGGGCAGCGTCCGTGGCAAGAATGGGTCGCGAGACGAGGGGGAGGGAAAATTAAGAAGAAAAAAACCTGCCAAAAAATAACAACCAGCCTTTCTTTCATGCCAGTGAAACAAGCACTATAATTTCAAATGTTCACGCTACCAATGTAACCACTAATTTTCCATTAAGCACAAGACACATTTGGTGTACAGTGACAGTGCCAGCACGCAGCAGTTGGAAGATGAAATGTATTGAAGGCAATCACCGGTACAACGTTTATTTTTACTATTTTGTATTTTAACCAGGTAAGACCCCACTGAGCTCTGTAGCTCAGAAGCAACCTGGCCATCACAAATGACGGAGTGGCTCGTCATTGCGTGCGCATTTACAGCAGCCACACACTCTCAGCGCGTGATGTTGATTCTCTGTGTGGAGGGGAAAAACCGGAGGACCGGGAGAAAAATCCACGTGACCACGGGGAGAACATGCAAACTCCAAATATACAGGTGTCGTCAGGGTCGAAATAGAACCAACAGACTTCCTGTATAGCAGGCGAGGTAGTTCACATCTCGCCACCATGGCACCCCTGTTATGTGTTCCTGGTAGAGCCTGTGTGTGTTCCTGGTATATGTGTATGTTCCTGGTATAGCCTGTGCGTGTTCCTGGTATAGCATGTGCGTGTTTCTGGTATAGCCTGTGCGTGTTCCTGGTATAGCATGCGTGTGTTCCTGCTATAGCATGCGTGTGTTTCTGGTATAGCCTGTGCGTGTTCCTGGTATAGCATGTGTATGTTCCTGGTATAGCATGCGTGTGTTCCTGGTATAGCATGCGTGTGTTCCTGGTATAGCCTGTGCGTGTTCCTGGTATAGCATGCGTGTGTTCCTGGTACAGTATGCGTGTTTTCCTGGTATATGTGTGTGTTCCTGGTATAGCATGTGTGTGTTCCTGGTATAGTATGTGTGTGGTCCTGGTATAGCATGCGTGTGTTCCTGGTATAGCATGTGTGTTTTCCTGGTATGATATTGTGTGTTCCTGGTATAGTCTGTGTGTGGTCCTGGTATAGCATGCGTGTGTTCCTGGTATAGCATGCGTGTGTTCCTGGTATAGCATGTTATGTGTTCCTGGTATAGCATGTTATGTGTTCCTGGTATAGCATTCGCGGCACATCCGAGGACACTATCGCCGTTAACGACGCATTGCGCAGGGCTAACTGCTCCGTCGGGCTGTGGGCTCTTTAACTGCGTTCCGGATTGCAATTGGGCGCCGACGACAGGAAACCACCGGGTTGCTCTCCATAGTCACAAGCACGTCGTAGTGTCCGTCCGTCCGTCACGCGGGCCACCGATTTTGTCACGGTGGTCACGCAAACCGCAAATACGAACGCAATGCAAATCGGAAAATGAACGAATCTTACTCCGCAATAGTGAGCCGTGTTCGGATAATTAATTTATCAGTTGAGAGAAAATTGCGTTCTCATTATTCCCTCCTTATTCACGAACTTGGCTGTCCGCGATTTTGGCTATCCGTGAATCGCGACTGGAACTCTCTGCACGGCTGCATCGAGAAAGAGGTGAGATAAAATTTACGAGAGAGAGAAAGGTTATTTACGTATTTATCTAAGGTGATTAATTAAAAAGGTTTTCGTAGGCCAATATAATTAACCGCAAAAATATGCGGATAACGGGGGCACACTGTACCCGCTCCACATGACAACAAGAAAACGTACCTCGACTTCTCCAGCGATCGATGCAGGTGGCATTGTTTCATGAGGTTGCTGTAAACAAAAAGAAAAAAAACACACAGACAAAAGAAGCACACAAAACAAAGATGCACAATGGTTAAATAACTTCCGAGAAAAGAAAACAGACGACACACACTGAAGGAACAAACACATCGCACTCTTTCACCAAAGCGAGCAGCAACAATCCACCTGGCCGAGCTTGGGCTATCATTTGTGGTGGCCAGGTTGCTTCTGAAAGAATAAACTCATACCTCAGCGGGCTTTGCCTGGTAGGATGGTGATGGTTTAGTGTTTTGTATTTGTGTGCATTTGGGTCATTTGTTTGCCTTGTAACTTGCACTACTATCGTGTTTTTGTAATTGTTTGTTGTAACGTTGTTACCCCGTGCCCCCACTGGACATCTATGAAAAAGAGCTTTATAGCTCATCGGATTCCTCCAGTGTTAATAAGGATTCTGATTCTGAAGTGAATGCATTTAGCCACGACTGCTAATTTGACCATTGCGGTAATTTATAATTTCGTCATCATCATCATCAGCAGCAGCAGCCATGGTCAGTCCACTGCTGGATGAAGGCCTCCCCCCCAAGCCGCAGCCACGTCACACACGATCCCGTGATGTCACAATCCACCCGCACCTGCTGCACCCCAACTTACGTCACTGCTTCCGTCTCCTCGGCGGAAAGTCTCTCTTGGGGTAATTAGTCCCATGGCTGCCTCCCACACCCTTATTATTCTTATTATAATTATTATTAATATTCTTATTCATATTATTATTATTCTTATTATTACTCTTATTATTCTTATTATTATTAGAACTATTATTCTTATTATTATTCTTATTATTATAATTATTATTATTCATATTATTATAACTATTATTCTTATTATTCTTCTTATTATTCTTATTATTATTATTATTATTCTTGACCGTCGGGCCACCCACCCATGTCTTGGAGGAAATGTAATCATTTACCGATGAAATGTAATAATTTTCAGAGGATTAAACATGCCAGTTGCGTTGCGAGTTAACTTATAATTTACCGAGGATTAAACATGCCAGTTGCGTTGCGAGTTAACAACGGCGCGACCTGCGATTGTCGTGTAGAGCTGTTACAGCTTGGGGAAAATAAGCCAGATGCAGCCATACATCATCAACACACTACACCCAAGGGGTGTACAGCTTCATTAACCTCGCAGGGTTGCATGAAGTCTGCAGTGCCGTATGTTCCACACCCCCCAAGTTACACTCCGCCGGGGCCTTGCCAAACAACGAATGTGATTTTTGTGCCACAAATTACAATAAAAATCCAATTATAGGAGAAGAAAACAAAACTAATGTAATTTTTGTTGCCAATAGTACCTCATGCTCAGAGTCACAAGTGAAAATGTAATCTACAACTAACAGACCTGAAGTGTGTGGATGTTGCTGAGAATATTTGATGATGAACTGATGATGAATAGACGATGAACAGATGCTGCAACTGTTGCTATTGCTGACGATGATGATGTCGCTATTACCATTGCTCATGAAGACCATGACGAAGATGATGATGCAGAAGAGGGAGTGTTCCTGGGAAAGCCACCCTGACTCCAATCACAGTGAGGAATGCGTGGCACGTGGCCGGTAACTATTAGCCATTGTTTTCTGTGACATCATCAAATCATTTTTGTCTCGTCTTTTATGAGTTCTCAATCTGTCAACAATATTTTTATATCTGTCTTCCTTTAGTCTTTTGTCGTTTCAAATATTTATTTTTTACTTCTCTGTGGGGTTTTTTTGGTACCTTTCCCGGACCTATAAGTTATATTAATTAATATGCTTGCTCCTCTGGACATTTTTGAATGTCTTTGCTGCTCGTTAGACCAAAATCAGTTACCAGCTGATACAGATATTTTCTATTGAGCTATCTTGTTGTCTGGAATTAGCTTTTTCCCTCTCGGTGAAGTTCACAACTTGCATCGCAGCAGTCTGCAATCACTTCCCGTGGTGAAGTTGCTGAGCAACACAGATGTTGAGGGACAATATGGGCTAGGCGACCTAATAAATCTGAGTTCTATTTTCACCGTCTGAATTTCCTCCATGTCCATTGCTTAGGCACTTTCTGTTTGAGAGATGTGTTCATTATTCCCATGGCTTTGCTGGCCACCGCTTTCATTTCTCACCTCAGTGTCAAACTTAACAATCAATTTTCTCACCTCTGTACATTCGACCTCTTTTGTATTAAAGTGACTTATTACGATGGCGTAAATGTGTTTGACCATCAGTTAAAAGTTTGGCAATTTCTTTATATAGTTTGTCTTCTTGATCTTGATAGCCCATTGTTGGGAGCGTACATCTGAGTTGTCTTTAACTTGCGGTGGTTTGAGAGTATTACTGTCGCCTTGGGAAATACTTTTGGATGCACGACTGAAATCTAAAACCTGATGATTCCTCCTCGAGAGAGACTGAGAATCCCCCTCCTCCACAATTCGTGTCAACTCTCTCCCGACGACAGGAAAGGTTGCTGCTTTTCAGAAGCAAAAACAATTCTCTCCCCCAATCTTCTCACCTCACTGAGGCCAATGATACCCATCTGTGTCTCTCAATTCTCACTCTCCGGTTTGACAAGGTTTGATTCTGCAGAATCCAGGTGCTGTACGTAGCAAACGTCAAATCATAGAAGGGGAGCCCTGTTCTAATCAAGCGCCGCAGTGGCGAGATGTTAACTACCTCGCCTGGTATACAATATGTCGTGGGTTCGATCTCAACCCTGACACCTGTATATTTGGAGTTTCTATATTCTCCCCGTGGTCGCATGGATTTTTCTCCGGTTCCTCCGGTTCTTTCCCTCCACATTTAGAATCAACGTGAGTTGAGAGTATTTGGCTGCTAAAAATGTCCACGTGATGATGAGCCACTTCGTTGAGCTCTCATTTGTGATAGTCAGGTCGCTTCTGAAAAAGAGCTAGGAAAGAGAGCTGTAGCTCAGTGGGGCCTTATCTGGTAAAATACAAATTGCAGTAATTACTATCATGCCCTTACTCCTACCACCGTCAAAAGTTGATGAAACCAGAGTTGCAGGAGGCTGATAACTGTGGCGACTGCCGGTGCAAATATTCTGTCACTATATTTCACCACGCCAGTCGGTGTTGTGAGTTGATGAAGATTCCATCCAGCTGACATGAGGATGCATCACTTCCACTCTGATGACCCCATGACCTCTCTTAACCACTCAGGGGTGTTAGCCAAAGAACACACACGTCTGTGTAGCCGTTCATGAACTGAAAGTCAACCGAAGCAGCGTTGTGTGTTAGATCACCGAATTACATGAGTTCTACTGAATTACACTGTTACCATAATACTAATGCAACGGTACTGTATTATTTAGAATATTTTGATTGTCGCAACAATGCACTTTTCAAACTGCTGCGACTATTTAAAAACAATTGGTTGAACCTACTGGATAGTATACGATACTACACTGAGTGCAATTGATTGTAACCGACTTACTGATTGTAACAGATTATTATGGAGTGTGACTGATTGTGATTGTAATTGTCGAATGCGATAGATGAAAGTAATTTTTCTTAAATATTACATTAACTGTTCCTCGGTCTGCTAATTGTTCATTTGATATGTAATTATACTATTTCATGGTTAAGAAAGTACTCTAGTTACTTTTAGAATTACTATTATTTTAGCATTTCGGTAGTACATTTGCTATAGATATCATAATTTAACTGTAGTACTGTAATAACAAAAACTACAATACAGAGACTCCTCTACTTACGAACAGGTTAGGTTCCAAAGGTCTGTTTGTACGTCGATTTGTTTGTAAGTCCAACGTTACTCCCGTCGATTCCAAACATGTTGTACGGCACTAAACACGGGGAATGGCTTTAAAAGTTGTTAATCTCCTGTAGATGTAGATGCCACCGGTTCTTCATGTTCTGAAGATGTAGATGCCACCACTGCCATCTATTGAACTTTCGACTCTCGGTCCGAACAGGCAACTGGACATACGGTCAGGTTTGTTCTTATCTCTAAAATTTTGTAAGTCGAATGTTCGTAAGTAGAGGAGTCCATGTAAACAATAATAATAAACAAAACCCCATTGAATGTTATTGAATATGGTACCGAATGAAATGTGGTAACACGTGCTCACACAAGCACCCGATATAATTATTTCCCATAATCCATGTTTAATTATCATGTTTGATGTCAAGTTAAACAAAAAAAGTGAAATTAAACTATTGTTTATATTTGAACAGGTAAGGCCCACTGAGCTATATAGCTCTTTTTCATAAGCGACCTGGCCACAAATGATAGCCCAATGAAGAGGCTTATCACGTATAAATGAACAGCAGACAAATACTCTGAGCGCATTTATATAAATAGGGAGGAAAACACCGGAGAACCTGGAGAAAAATCCACACGACCACGGGGAGAACATGCAAATTCCAAATATACAGGGCTCAGGGTTGGGATCAAACCCACGGCATCGTATATGCCAGTCGAGGTAGTTAACATCTCACCACCGTGGCGCTCCTGGTATAGCCATGACGTCATCAAGATACAGGTAGGCGCCATGACGTCATCAGGTCAGCTATTCAGGTGATCCAATTTAATAATTACAGTTGGTTGATTGGTTGCGGTTGGCAAATTAAATTAGTGTAATAAGGTGGATATATAGTAGTAAGGGAAAATATGCTATCCTTAATTACATTAAGATTTATTATGTTAGTTATAAAGCAGATTTTTATGTAAATGTTGCACTATTTTATTGTATCTGGGCCAATGGCGTGAACGAAGCTGTACAAACGACGCAGACAAAAACTGAGAAACAATACAAACGAGATGGTAAAAAAAAACAAGAACAAAATAAGCCTCTTGAACCGAATCGTAACCCTCTGTATCATAACAAGTAATTTAATCGTATGGTGCAGAGAGATTTCCCAGTGGTAACATGTCGTCGGTTCAAGCAGCACCCCACTAAACAAAAGGATGAGGCAGTAAAGTGTAACGTGCACGAGTGAAAATGTAAAAAAACATT